GAAGGGTTCTTTGGGGAGGGGGGAGGGGTAGGTCAAGCCAAATCAACTTTAAGAAAATAATTGTATATTGCAAAATGCCTGCAAAATAACATTTGAGGAAATTTTTGGAACTTTTGTGGATTCTTAGAAGAATTTCCTCGTTTTGGGAGAAAAATATCTATCTTATCCATGAATATAAATACTATTTAAAAAATGCAAAACTCAGCCTTGTGATACCAAATTCGTAGCCTTTAAAGCATATAAAAAACCATCCATCCTGCCCTCTAGATTCTAGCAATGAGTCAAAGCGTAAGCCTATCTCTTTTTACATCAGCGAAGAAGAAGCCAAACAACAGCCTAGGCGTTCACTCATTTCCAGACTCCTAATGCATCCATATCCTACATCTGACGTGGCTACGTTCGCTTCTTCTGCCTTGTTTTCATCATTTGCACTCGCAAAACTTTCATAACGGCTTATCTTATCGGGAGAATTGCGTAGCAATTACGGGTCAATTGGTCTAATAGTAGAAAAGGGCGAAGATTTCGGGCGTTGGCCTGTTGCCAAGCTATGCTGAAATACCGAACTGAATAGGATTAAATGAACTATTTTCCACTGACTTCATGGATGATGCTCTAGTGCAGTTTCTTGAGAGAAGTTTCCCAGATCTTTTACATTCGATACATCGGTCATGTTAATTTGGCAGAAAATTTCATAAAAAGCATTGATTTTTTTCCAAATGTGAGAGGTTTAATTATGGTTTCAATCACATATGGAAATTTAAGGATTAGTGTATGAATGATTGAATGAGTGAATGAATGAGTGAGAAATGAATGAATGAACAATTGAATGAATGAACGAATGTAATGAATGATGAATGAGTGGTAAATGAGCGAGTAGGTACATGAAAAATTTAATTATAACCATTTGTTATCATAGATTAAACAAAAATTACGTGCCTCTTATCATTGCTCTTCTCAAAAGTACAATTTTCCTTAAATTGACGTCAAAAACATCATTTTTCAATTCTTCCAAATCATAGATCGCTAATTGGAAAAAAACTTGCAGAAATAACAAGCGAGCTTATTTGTTGGATGTTTAAATGTCG